CGCCACCACACCTGTGGTTTAACTTCCGCAACCCTAACTAGTCGCTTCTCCAGTCGATCCATGAAAATGTCCGCATAAGAGGGAGCCATTTTCGTCCCTATTGCTGTCCCACGTTCTTGCGAGTAATGCTTACCATTAAACTCAAGATAATAACTCTTCAAAACCAACTCCGCAAACGTAGCAATATCCTCACCTAGTGACCTCTGCCATTCCCCCGCCTCCATCCCTCCATAGGTCACAAATGATTCCTTCAAGGCCTCCAATCCTTCATCGTGTGGAATTTGAGGGTACAAACCCACAACGTCAATTGTACACAATATATAGCACCCTCCGGTAACCTCTGAAGTTCACCCAGTTTCCTCAAAAAGTCATTCGTGTCCCTGAAATATGAGTTTATCTTCAGCACCATAGATCTTAAGTTATTATCGACAAACTGTGAAATCCTCTCTGTAGGTGTATTGCACCCCGAAATTACTGGTCTTCCTGGGCAACCCGGCTTGTGTAACTTCGGCAGCAAAGAAAACCTTCCTGGTCTCGCATTCTCCGACACTAAAAGGTATTCCCTCGTTTTACCATCAATATGGCTTTTGTCCCAACACTCACGTAATTTTTCATTGATCTTATCAATAATGTCCCGAGTACGATCCCTATCCAATGATGTATACACTTCAGAATCACTCAACCGCCGCTCAGCTTCATTAAAAAAAAGCTTCCTTATCCATGACCACCACTGCAGATCCCTTGTCCGTCTGTTTTATAATTATATCATTGTAACCCCTCAAATTCTCTAATACTCGCTGTTCATCTCTTGTGAGATTGCGCGGGTGAGTTACTGTAAAATCATGCGATAAAACGGCCTTTTCAAGCGCCTCCACGTAAGCCTCTATAGCCAACTCCCCGTTCCTCTCCGGACACCATTTAGACCGATTCCGAAATGAGGGCATTTCTGAAAAATCCCCATTTACCTCTTCCTCAGAATAAAAAAAAACTCTCTTAGCCTGATTCGTCTAATGTACTCCTTTATATCTTTTCTCACGTT